ATTACCATTCATTATAGCAGTTATGTCAATCTTTTATGCACTCGTGGGATTAACTTAGTGCTAGGGCATTGAATATCGAACAATACGTCAATTTCAATGATTTTGGGTTTTTTTGAGACACCCTGTATAGCCTTTCAAATTCAAATTAACGACAACTATAAGTGATTTGATTGTTCTCAACTGCTTTAAGTTAATGATACGCGACGAAAACATGTCTTATTTGCAAAAGAGATCAATTATAACTTCATTTTAATGCTGCTTGTACTGTGCAGGGTATTTTATTGAGTTGTTCGTACATGTCCCATAAGTAGAGAGTCTTGTTTTACGGTATGCTTGATTTAAATTTGAAAGGCTGTACTTTTTTTATACTGTACACACTGTCGGTTAAGATAGATAGATGGTTTATTTGCAAAGCATTGCAGCCAAAAGCTGAATTACGCTAAGAATTACATATAGTTTAAAATTAGAATAACTATTAAAAATTTTAAAAGTTTGGAGCCAAATGGCAATGTGCGTATAAGTTGACTATAATTGTCTGCTACTATAACTAGGTGCGCATTTTCAGTGCATTGTGAGTTATAAAACTATTCCTAAATCGGTCTGTTTTAAAAAGCTGATTTTTAAAAAGTCGTTTCTTCCTAAGCTTAATTTGGCATTCGTTTACAGGTGGTAAAAGTTTGTTCAATTTGTGACTTGGGTCGCTAATAATTTGCTGGAATAGTTTGTCTGTTAGTTGCTGTCTTCGTGCTTCTAGAGGGACCAACTCAGCAACGGAGAGAGATTCGTCATATGATAAGGCTGGAAATATTATCCGCATCGCGCGTTTCTGTACTCTTTCGATGTCTTTAACAAGGTAATTTGGCAGGCTATCGTGAAATACTGGGCAGCCATACTCTGTAACAGGTGTTATACAAGTACAGTAAAAGGTAATAAGTTCCTTACTGCCCACGTTCGAACGTTTTAGTTGGCTCAGAAAATACAAACGCTTATTCGCTTTCTTCATAATAACAGATATATGGCTATTCCACTTAAGTATATTTTATTGTGCCAATAAAATAATTTAATTCCCAATTACAATGACTTATTTTCAAAAATAATTAATTACAATAATTACCTCTCAAAAAGGTAATTAATTAATTACAAATTACACTTTGTGATGGGGATCTTTTGCTAAATATACTGCTCACAAAATGAAAATATGTCAATATGTTTAATGATGGTAATTAGGTTTAATTTCTTTGCGGCCGTCGAAATGTTTTAATGGAGAGCGTTTGCACTCATTCCCCCAGGGACCATCTCAACAAAAGCCATGACGGCCATGTTGTTGGTGTTCCAGACAAAAGAGCTAGTCTAATTAAAATTCTTTTGAATTGGAACACCAACATGGCGGCTGTGACGTCATGTGCAAACGCTCTATTTTATCGGAGTTGAAGTTTACTTCTGTCAGTATACGTTCAAACATTTGACATCTTTACGAATACAAAATCTGGAAGGTATACATCGGTCATCATGACCGGTGGATTAAATTCACCAGTCACATCAGATTTTGCCAGTCATCTTTTGTTTTCGTCATTTGCCGCGTGGTATGATTCCAGATAATTATTCTGAAGAAAATGCTCACTTTGTTGACGAGAATAACGACAAAAAATTACAAATGTTGAAGAGAAAAATTCGTATATAATAAATTTTTCTATAAATTATGGTCACCGCCGAATTTACACAAGTATATTTAGTACTTGGACAGTGCGAAAGCGTATCTGAGCCGCAAAATTTTAACCGGACAAATCAGGCAAATGAAAGTAAGGCCTGTTTTATACGTCGAATTTTGGTCGCGTCGAATGCAATTAACACAATAGATAATGAGATGATAAACGTCATTAAGCTTCATTATCTATTGTTTGAATTGCATTCGACGCGACCAAAATTCGACGTATAAAGCCAGTTTAAGTTGGCAAACAAAATCGCGTACGCATATTTTTCATTAAAAAATTCACTGGTCATGCGTGTCCGATAAGCGAGAATATTTGCCAGTCAAACTGAAAAATTGACCAGTCAATTAATGACTGGTGACCGGCAGTTATTTCGAGGCATAAAGACTCTAGATTTCAAACGTTTCCAAGGAAAATCATGTCCCCGGGAAACCTATATACTGACATATATATGATATGCCCATGCATATTGAACGTGAAAAACTGAAAACTCATGGTCTTTGTAAACAATTCCTGGTTTCAATAATACTGCAACGTCATTATTAATAATTTTGTATACCACCAATTTTTGTATTTACATATTCGAAGTATTTCTCGGTTTTACTTCTTTAAGCTGCAAGAAAAATAACGTTGAATAAGCAATTACCATTAGAGCAACAGGTTTTCAACTAACTATATTTATACTATAGATCTATCAACAACCTCGCCAGAAAGTCCTGGAAACGAGATTGCTCTGTCAGCCAAAGTCAATCTCGTTCCCCGAGCCTGCGATCCTCGGGAAGGAACGCGAGGCTCTGGGATAATCCGTTGCCGGAAGCCAGGAATTCTGGCTAAGATTGAACTACGCATTCCATTTCAACGGCCAATCAGATTCCTCCCTGAAACGGATTATCCCAGAGCCTCGCGTTCCTTAACGAGGATCGCAGGCTCGGGGAACGAGATTGTGCCAAAGTATTCTTCCTCAAGGTCAAGTAAGGGCCATCCCAATTGTCAGTATTTGGTTGAATCTGAAGGCATTCTTCTCCTCATGAAGCCTATAGTCAGAAAACTGCATATTGTATCAAACTCTAGTGGCACTGTGGCAGAGGTTAGTCCAGGGTTCGTGAAGGTTTGCAGTAAGAAAATTAAGGACTTTTCAACGACTATTCAAGGACGTTTTAATGTCTTACAAACAGAAAACAATCCAAATATTAGTAAAAAATAAACAGTTATTGGATGAGGTTTTGTGATATCCGAAAGCGAGATTGATATAAGCCTTGATAATTCGGGATGTCACAAAAACCGATTATACATAAAATTTTCATCAACAACTCTTTCGACAAACAATGATGTGTCGCACAAAACAACGTTTGATTCTCAAAAAAGCAGTGAAAACGATTTAAATATCACAATAACAGCATAACATATTAGAAATCTCATTTACCAACTAAAGTTCCTATAAAAATGTCAAAAAATCTGCTTTTTGCACACGGTTTCGAGCACCGTTTGATACATTTCATATGTTAACATGCAAGCACTTTTCAAATATGTTGCATTTTCAAAGGCTTTTCAAGTGCCCTTGTCCTTGAAATTGATTTTTAAATTTAAGCACTTTTCAAGGAGTTCAAGGAGTTCAAGGACCTGCACGAATCCTGTTGGTAATTTTCGTGTTAAATCTTTTGAATTAAGGCCTTTTTGAGTTAAAACAACGCCCCGAGCATTTGCGTGGGCCATCTGCATGCTTCAAAAGTCCGGTTTTAACTCGAGCATCAAATTTCTTCACTGACTTAGGCCGACCTGTTTTTACGGAGCCTAGGACGAAGGGTCCATACTGTGTTTTTTTTTCTTTGAGTTATGTCCTTTACAAAAAATGGCTTGGTTAAGCGTAGTCGGGGCTTAACTTGAAGGGCTTAATTCGAAGATTACCCGACCTCCAGCGGCACGGGCAAATGGCTCAAAAACTAATCGTCACTGAAACAATAGGTCCATTTATATACACTGTGCCATTTTATCTTACTAATATCTTCATAGTATAGACATCAACCGAACCTGAACATTATTTTTTAAATCTTTAAGCAAATCTGCGCCATCAAAATCGCTCGTCCCAAAAATATTGGGCGAATTTTGATTTTGCACATCACGATTTTCAACCTACAAAGAAAATAGAAACATTTTTATAGACAACCTCTTACCCAGGCTCTTTCCTCTATATACAGCCTGGGTGCAAGGTTGTTTAAATGTACTTTCGCTCGCTGCTCTGGTTCGAGAACATGAATGCAGTCAGGGAATTGGACATGACTTCACAGTTATTAAGCAGCAATATTCCGTAATACAGTATAAATTGTGAATTTTTTTAGAAAAAGATTGCATTCATATTTTTAATACATGCAGTAGTCAGTACTTTAGACAGTTTTTAATGATTCAAATAAATTAACATTATCAACATACAGAATTAATGATTCGAATACCTCAGTTTTGAGCTGATCATCCTGCGAACTCTGTTGGTGTACTCCAGCCAAACTTTCATCTCTTGATATAAGCTGTTAATAAATAAACCGAGTAGTTTCTTGTAAAATACTAGAACCAATTTCAAGTATCGCAACAAATGTTTTAATTGGGGATTGAATATGCCACCACTCAATGAAAACATTTTGATATTTGCCATTTAATGATTGTGGGTGGATATGTAAACACAAAATCGCCTAAAAATGTGTCCGGCAGAATCTGAAATAACGTTCAAAATTTTTTCGGAAAATATCCGACCAAAAGATGGAACTTGCTCGAAATTTTTGAAATACGGACGAACATTTTCTCGATTTCATTTGACCGATATCTCATGTCGGATAAATCACGTCAATAATAAATATTTTATACCAAACATTACATATATAATGTAACAATTGTGCATTCCTTGCGAGGTGATCGGACACAGTTTATGGTTAACCCATTCTTTCAAGAATACTGCAGATTTCTGATTTTTGCCCGGACAAAGTATTCGACCAATTTAGCATTCAGTCATAAAAACTGTAACTTGGCTGGAAAATGTGCAATGTCCAACCGTTATTTCAGGCTCTGTGCAGAATTAAAGGTACCATCCATGGACCGATTCGAAAAATGGTTGTCATTCTTTTTTCTTTTGAAATAAATTTCAACCAAGGTAATCACTGTCGCGTTATAGAATACTTCAAAACTACCAGTTTTACACAGTATAAATATAGTAAAATATTCCATGTACTCTTTTTGAAAAATGAAATCGTACCGGAGTTTGTGCTAGAATTAGCAAAAAAAACTGACTAGCCTCGTTTAGGTGCTTTTTGCACATTTCAAAGAGCTATAATTTCGCTTGCATGGCTTGTTGCAACCTGTTAAACTCTCACACTTTGCTTTAAATAGCAGTCTCTGCCAAAAAATTGTTTATTGGCCCGCTCATGTATAAAATATACAATAATGAATGCAAAATTGTGGCGGCTAGTTTTCTAATCGGTCAATATATGGTCTCATTTTGATCTAAACATTTTACTTACGGTAGATAAAGAAAGAAAAGAGATATCTTGAAGTGACGCCGAATTAGGAACTCGAACAGTAGTTGAAGATAAAGAATGATGGCTTTGATATTCGCTACGGCGAACTTTTCTTGATCTTTTGGTCCAAGCCGACTTCACCTAAAATGGTTATTTTGGATGGAACTGTCAGGATATGTTCAGGTATACTGTACATAACTATACCGGATCATGTGCTACTTGCTTTAGACAGACTAGACAGTTGTGATAGAATACAATCTCAGTAGATCGTCATCTCAGTGGATTGTATGCCTGGATAATACACATTTTTGTATTTAAATTCCGAAACTTTGAAATGTAACTTAAATATTTGGCTTTTATTTCACAACATTAATATTGCTGTTGTCAGTGACTATTATAGTGACACTTGACTTGACTTTATTTTAATTGGAACTGAGTCTGAGGAAAACTAGACCAATGACTGCTATTAGTGAGCTTAAGATCGCAATGTTTTTGTCAAAACGGACGTCAGTTCGTCGAGGGGGACTGGATTGAAAACTGTGTTTTTGTCAGTTTGTGGTAATCTTCAACATATTATGACAAAACCTAAGATTTTTAAAGTTTTTTGCTTCCTTATAGACGAGCGCTATGGTGCAAAATTCCGCCAAAATTAATCCAACCAATTTTCGGGTGACGTCCGTGTTGGGGACAAAACGGCAAGGAGTCGAAACGACCTGGGACGAAACGGTAAGGGGACGAAACGACCATAAAGCCTTCCTTGGGATACTTCGTCCCAAGGAAATCTCATCTATTAGGGAAATCCTCCATCTGGATGAAAGGCCATTTAATTTATTAAGGCTGGTTTACACTATCAAAGTTTCAATGATTACAGTAGGAATTTTGCAAAGGTAAATTCTACGTTTTGAAGGAGTCACTGTTAACGCATTGGTTCCCTCAAACATTTCTTAGAAATCCTTCAAAACTTAGAATTTACCAATGCAAAATCCCTACTGTGATCACAGAAACTTTGATAGTGTAAACCAGTCTTAAGAAGAATTTGGACGGAGGACGCATGTGATGCCAGCGGTTCCGACGCCTGTGACACTGACATCATGCTCAACATTCTCCTAAAACATCTATCCCATTTTGACTAGTTTCGCTGAGTTTTTTTTGCCTGTTTCGAACTTTGAACTATTCATGTGAAGAACCTAATATTAATATTTTTTAAGGGGCCATTCACAAAGGATGTCCGAGCCGAGGGGGGGGGGGGTTTGGAAAATCCGAAATTTAAAAAAATTCAAAAACAAATTTCTTTTTCCTCTATTTTGAACTCTCTTTCCCATTGTGAAATTGGCATTTTGAACACTTCATAATATTATCTAATTCTTTCCTTCAATACATTTATAGTTATAAAAAAGTTCTAAAACTGTAAAAAAAGCTTTTTACTCTTGACATATACAAGGTTGCGTGAGTTTTTGCGAGGCATGGCGGATGTCCGGGGGGGTCACTAATTCGGACAATACGGAGCTTTAGATTTGACTACGAGTACGACTACGAGTACGAGATTTGATCGCGTGCTAGGAAATTACCGTAGTCGTTTTCCTTTTCACTCAAATGCAGTGCTTCCATTTTCAAGGAAATTTCCTTTTCTAAGGAAATTCTACTGTCGAAAAGGAAAATCTAAGGAAGAGAAAAAATCTAAGGAAATCTAAGGATTTTTTCCGAAAAACTTAAATATTCACCCCAAGC